ATATTACAAGAACTGTGGGGCATTGTCAGGTCCATGGATGCAGTAGTTCTAGTGCAAAATGACGCTGTGTTCCAGTTGTACACTTGGTTCCCCTACCAGTCTGACAAGCACTGTGTTGGAGTTGGGGATGTCATCCTGATGGACCAATGGAGTCTGGAAGCTAAAGGAAGGATTATTAATGATGGGACACTGTTCCCAAGCAAAATACCCATAAATGCCCATGGATGTCCAATTAAAGTTTCATTTCCTTTTAATGACAGGAATGATGTTCGTTATGTAACAGATTACCTCAAAGGTCTCAACTTTACCGTCATTGGTCATTATAAACACCTCTTCCATGGAAATGGATCTGATTACATCCAGCCATCAGCACAAGACATGGCATCAGGTCAGACAGAAATAATTGTTGGAATTCCTCTGCAAAGGGACATAAATGAGATAGGAGACAATTCTTTTCCATACTCTGAAGAAATATGGGCTTGGTATGTACCTTGTGCCAGACCTGTATCCCGCATCCTCCGGATACTTCAGATTTTCTCAGCACTTTGCTCATTTGCCATAATTTTGACAATCCTCCTTACTGCTGTCGCGATCTGGTGCCTGGCGCGGCATTCACTGGAATCACAGAGTTACACCAACCTCTCCAGAGTCATACTCAATGTCTGGGCTGCAGGACTGGGTGTATCAGTAAGTGAGATGCCAAAAGCATTCTGTCTGAGGGCACTTCTTTTTGCATGGCTCTGTAGCTCCTTAGCTCTTAGCACCATTTACCAGGCATTCTTCACCAGTTATCTCACTGATCCTGGTGTCGAGAAACAGATCACGTGTGTGGAAGAGCTCATCAGTTCAAAAATGCAATATGGTATCATGACAGGAGCTGATTTTATGTACTCTGCTTCAGGAACTGGAGGTAATAAAGAACTGATTCTGGGTGGGGAAAACTGTAGTGTTCTTGAAATTTGCATTCAACGTATTATTGACACTAAAAATTTTGCAGTTTTTTCTCATTCTGATAGGGTAAAGAACTATTTGGACTCTGTTAATGATACTACATCAGTTTGTCTCATGAATAATTTTAATTCCTTTGCAACACAAATTGTCACCTATTTCTCTAAAGGAAGCTGCCTCTTATCTCCCTTTAACAATTACATGACTACTATTTTGGAGTCTGGTATATTTGTAAAGGATGGGGCAAATAATGAGCTTCATTCTGTTGATAGGAATACTGCAAATAAGGATATTCTTCGTGAATATTCTGTGTTCTCTCTGAGTTATGTGTCTATTGCATTCTACAACCTTCTGATAGGACACAGCCTGAGTTTTGTTGTGTTTGTAGGGGAGCTTATACATTGTAAATTTGCAAAACATCACTATCAAAGTATGACTGCAACATTTAATGAACATTAGCTTAAATTATCACTGAGCACTTTTTAGTCTTTGACATGAAGTTGTATATTATTTACAACCTCTCTATTAACGATCACAACACAACAAATATCAAGGCCAATGCCCAGCTACGGGTCTGCTACATGTTTCGGCTTTCAATAGCCATTATTAGGCAAATACATGGTTAAACATATATACACCATGGATACAAGACTATTAATCATATAAAACATGTGACGTAAAAAATACAATTAATCAGATTATATAAAACAGAAGTTATATTGTAAAACAAGAATAAAATTTTAATTGATGTTTTATAACATCGAATCAGTTGTTGGTTTATGTAATTTCTTACATTCCCATGGACAAATTGGAATATTCTATATTTTCTTTTTGTATATAAGATAGTATAGGAGGCTCGTGATGTAGATGTTAATATTAATTGTTTAGTCAGTGCATCATCTTACAAAGTATTGTCCGTACTGTAGAGAATGTAAACAACGACCATGTATTTATATATGCAACTTGCTTGACTTACATTTATAATTTTCATTTCATGCATCCTGTTGTGTTGTGACGGTTAATAAAGAGGTTGTATACTGTAACACAATAGGATGCATGAAATGAAAATTGTATATTATTTATTTATTTATTTCGTCTCTACAGATCATTGTTACATGATATAGGACAAGTCAGTTACTGTACATTGGCTGATTACAATAAGGGAATATGGTTACAATACTTACAATTGTTTACAATATATTACAGTAGATTACAATAGTTAAGAGTTCATATAGTGTGAGGTAGAATCCATATTAGGTCCCCTCGGCATGTCGGCTTCCATATGTCCTATCGTACCTGTACAGGTGATAATGCTTATGGAGAATTTGATGGAATGAGGATTGGCAGGGGAAACCAAAGTACTCGGGGAGAACCTGCCCCAGCACCACTTTGTCCATCATAAATCCCACTTGACTAGACTGCAGCGGTGGGAAGCCACCAACTAACCACTTAAGCTATGGCATGGCCTTTGAGATAATATTGGTGAATTTGGTGATAGCACTGGTATAATATTATTCTTTGCTGTGAAGCCTTCATGTCCTACATTACTGATGTTTTCTAAATTCTTATTTAAGACAAGATGTAAGACTGCTTGTACCAGTTCTCATGGTCTCTTCGCTCATGGATTTCTTATCTTTTCTTCTACCCTGAAGATGGAGGCGACATGTTCCTCCGAAACGTCAGTTAACACCACATCAACACGGTGCCACATCCCAGAAGACTGCTTTCTTCATAGTCACCACCGTGAAAACCTCAAATCTTACAAGATGTAAGACTCCTTGCATGAAGGATCAGATCACTGAAAGGCCTTTATATTTACATGTTTATATTTACAGCAGATCTGAACACTGAGACCCACTGATAAATCAGCCAAGACCAACTACACCTTAGAATATGGTTATTGGTACTGATAAGATGAATATTCACTTGTCTTCAGTTATTGCCCTCACAGGAAATATCACTAAAATTTTGCAAATACACCTTCATGGCATGCCTGCAGTGTCTGGAAGAATGTAAGCCAAAATCTTCACTTTATTTGTATCTGTATGGCCACTTTTCAGAAAATATTACTGTTTTCATTCATTCATATTTAATGTATTCAAGTAGATCCAGTTACAGGGTGAGAAACAAGTTCACACAACATTGGATATAGAATGTGTATTTCCTTTTCTAGAATTTAAAGCAGACCCAAATTTTGAAGCTCATAATTCAAGATAAGAGTGTTCTTGCAAATCAGATGTACAAAATGTATGAACTTGCATAAACATACATTTCCCTCTTTAGTTCCTATAATGGATTATGCCTCTTTCAGTTCTGAAATCATGGAACCTTTATACACCTGGTAGGTTTAAGTGGGGAGAGAATCAGTCATCACAACTCTGAAAAACACTGACATATGCCCATGCCCCAAGTTTTGGATCAACCTTACAAGTCCAGTGTTTGAGACTTCAAATGACTAATTGCCTTAAACACTGCAGGCATTGTAGCAGCCAAAAGATCAAGTTACTTCAATGAGCAGTGTCATTTTCAAGAACAGCTCCTTGCAAAATTGATTGATTGATTGATTTATTTCGTCACTGTAGATCATTGTACATGATATATGACAAGTCAAGTTAATTCTGAATATTAACAGTTGATATATAAGTATATTAAAATTACAATAGTTACAATTTTTACTGCTGATTACAATTTAGAATTAGTTAGATATTCTTATTTGTGGAGAATTTGATGGAATGACAGCAGTGAATGTGTGCAATTATAATGCAAGTTATTCTTGGAGTAATATGAAAAAAAGTTTTACATTGGGACCAATATTTGGTGTTTAACATACATTTTGTATAATGGAAGAATACAAACTTGAAATGCAATAAAATGCTTCTGTAATTCTTCTCTGAATATTTCATCATGTTCAGAACATCGTATGTATTTATATTTCAGAAATCATGCAATGAGTATTTCTACTTCCTGACATGAAAGTTCATGTATGCAAAATATTATAAAGACATTAAAATAATTAGATAGGAATGGGTTGTGGCTGTAGATATGTGTATACTGCTCATACGGCTTTGATTTACTGTTATGTCCCTTACATCCATGTTAATATTTTCCTTTCATCTATGTCTACATGTTCGAGGGGAAGCTATTTTCTCCAACTCCCTTACAAGGACTTTTGCCATGTGTTAACACACGACTTCCACAACAAAGAAAATATTAGAGAGGATAAATTAGTAAAATGACTCGCTATAAGCTGATTACCGTTGTTTGATTTCCAACTACAGCAGGATTTTTTTTGCCAAAATCCAATTGGTTCTGGGGCCCACCTAGCCCCTATTTAATGAATGGTAGAACTCTTTCCCTGTAGGTACGGCCACTTGAGGACAAGGCTCGCTTTTATCATCCAGTTAGTGCCCTGTTAGAACTTTACCTCCACTCTACCTTATACCCCTTGATATTGCGACTGTTTCCTACCATAAGCAAATCAGGTAAGTTAAATTAGGAATCATGACAATGACCACAAAATGTGAATATTTAATCGTGAAGTTATTTACCTCAGTACTTAATTCGTAAGAGCCTCATCTGTTTCTTGTTAAATGATTCAACAGATATGAAAAGAATGTATCTCAAACCTCTTCAAATAACAGTAAACTACTTACCTAACCTTGCATCTTACAAAAGGTCGATAATTGGTAAAACAAAGCGGGTATCACTCAGTATTAGTTAGTCTTACGATAGTAGTTAAATTGTGCATTTCTTTTAAATTTGTAAATAATCTACGAATGTGAAATCCTACTGTTCCTAAAAAAAATCACAGGCTGCTAACACATTCAACATAAATACATCATCATTATCTCACACCGCTCACACCATACGCACCAGACCAGATTGCAGGTTCGTCGAGTTCGGTCTAGTTCCGGTCGGGTTATCTGTGTGATTCTATGCTTCTGGACCTGGACCTTGTGGCGCAGTCGGCGTCGTCGGGTCGTCGGCATAGTGAACCGTGGAGCAGTATGGTGGTCGTGGAGGTCGTGGAGTTGTGGAGGTGGTAGGCAGCGGTAAGCAGTGCAGGCGGAAATGGGAGACAGGAGTTGGAGTTGGGCTTTGATTGGAGCTTAAGGATATCGTTTTGTGATATTTTTAATTATTTATATAGTGCAGACAAGATTTATTTTATATTCTGTTCGTTAAATAGTTTATATAAGTCAGGAAATAATATTCAATGGGAGAAAAAGGCGACCGGCAGTTTAAGTAAGTATAGTTTTCCGGTTAAAATACAAGCTACTACTGTCAATTTCCCCCCAGTTCCTTTTTAAAATAATGGCGGGTTGAACAAATGGCAGAAGCCGAGGGATTTTCATTTAAATTTTTTGGATAGTGTGTTTGTTTTTATATGTTTATTTTTTATTCGTTGTGCGATACAGTAATCTGAACATGGGGTGATATTCTCGACTAATTTCTCCTTCCATATTTGTATTCATAGGCGTGGTTTTATTGCATTTCACTCTAAATACGTAGCCAACTTATTATAGCGATGAAGAAAGCAGTCTTCTGGGATTTGGCGCCGTGTATATGTGGTGTTAACCGACGTTTCGGAGGAACGTATCGCCCTCATCTTCAGGGTTGAAGAAAAAGTATAGGTAAATCTGCACCAAATCCCAGAAGACTGCTTTCTTCATAGTCACCGCCGTGAAAGCCTCAAATCTTACAACTTATTATAGCATTTACCAGTCTCTTTTTATAGCTCTCCTTCTTAGGAAACCCTCCGATGTAGTTAAATTGTATCATCCCTATTGTATTGTATTGTATTGTATTTATTACACGTTCCAGCACATCCATACAAGGCCGAAGCCATTCGATACAGAACCTGTCATACCACAAGCTAGCAAAATCAGCAAGTAGTCAAGTAGTATAAGTACTTTTGTTGGCTTGCCTTGCATTCCTCTTAATATTAATTTTATTATATGCAATAAAACTAGGTGTCATTGTTTTTTTATGTCATGCATCAGTGTTCAATTAAAGCTGAATTGTTTGATTATACACAGATGTTTAGTGGAACAGGAAATTGAACTGTTTCATTGATGAAATTTACCATGAACATTTTTAATTTTTGTTCTGGCTCTGCTGTACCTTGACATCAGTTTGTGTCATTTCGTTTTTTTTTAATGCTTCATGGAGGCTAGAATTATCTAATCACAGCTACCATAACAGTTTGAGTTTGCATAGTCCATAGTCTGAGGGGAGCTGCTTGCTTCTAATAGAAATTATAATGGTCATTCGCAGATAATATGTAGTAAGTTGTAAATGTATTAACCTTTTAAAGCAGTGGTTACTATATTTACCACCTGCTTTAAAATTAAATTAATCATCGTTTTGCTCACAGAGTGTATTTATATATTTTTTGTATGATGCTCACAATAAATGGTGATTCTAAGCAGTATTATTTGATTGGTTTTTGTAAGAGAGATTCAGTGTGTTTTCTGTAAAGGAGGAACTGAAATATTATGTATTACTCAGATAACTTCATGCTTGAATGAGTTGACCAGAACAATTTTGTGTTTGCCACAGGTTATTGAGAATTGGAAAGAAGAAAATAATGTGAAGTAGTTTTACCCAATAGAATTGATTACTGCTGTAGAATTCAAGAACCAGGATAGCTTAGTTGGTATAATGACTAGGGTACAGGCTGTACAACCAACAAATTGAGTTTGATCCCTGGCAAGGTTAAGAGGTTTTTCTGTTCTCTACAATTCCCATACTGGCTCTAAGTCTCACCCAGCCAAAGCATAAAATTGACCACTCACTGCCATAGAGTGCTGAGGTTAATGCCTCCATTCCCACATAAATCTTCATGGTGAATGTGTAATTAACTATAGGGATGAACTTCCCCTTAGGGATGTGAATGCATCCTTTAGTTTTTATTTTCAAGACATAAATTACATATTTTAGGGGAAGAATTTTAATATTTCTGCATGCTGAAACCGACAGGCAAAATTTATGATCTTGCATTGAACAATAAGAACAAGAACATTAGAAACCTGCACAGAGGAATCAATGAATTTAAGAGACGTTACCAACCTAGAAATAACTTAGTGACTGGTGATCTACTTGCAGCTTCCCACAATGTTTTGAATACATGGAAGAACTACTTATCTCAGTTATTAAATATACAATGGGTCAGTGATGTTAGGTGGATAGAAATACATACAGCTGAGCTGTTAGTACCTGATCCTATCTTTTTTGAGGATGAAATTGCTATTACAAAGTTGAAAAGGTATAAATCTTCAGGTAGTGATCAAATTTTGGCAGAACTCTTTCAAGCAGGAAGTGAAATATTATGCTCAAAGATCCATAAGCTAATTAACTCTATTTGGAATAAAAAAGAATTTCCTGATCAGTGGAAAGAGTCTATTATTGTACCAGTTCACAAGAAGGCTGACATAACTGACTGTACTAATTATCATGGGATATCACTGCTATCAGCTTCATACAAAATTTTATCCAATATTCTTCTTTCAAGGTTAAGCCCATATATAGATGAAATTTCCGGGGGATCATCAGTGTGGGTTTGACATAACAGATCAACTACAGATCAATTCTTTTGCTTTCATCAGATACTGGAGAAAAAATGGGAATACAATAAGACCATTCATTCTAATGTTATATTTTTAGCGTCCTGTTGCACTGATTCACATTCATGATGTGTATTTGTACCAACCGTCTTACAGTGCACACAATTTCACTTTTCTCTTCACTACATGTTTTGGCACTAATGTGCCATCTTCAGGTGTGGTTTTATTTACGTCAAACCATAGCACTGTATACCATCATGTCTCCTTTATAAAATGATTAAAATGTATATATGTCATGTATAATAATAAAGTTTATGTATTAAAACTTTTCAAGATTTATCATCTATACGTCACACTTCAAATTCGCAAGTTACGTCAATCCTCTCCTATGGGAGTACTCTTCCTATATTCTTGTGTATATTGTGTTCTGTGTTGTGTCCTTCCCTTGTGACTGTGTGCGTTGTATTGCTCAATACAACTCCTATGGGAGTACTCTTCCTATATTCTTGTGGATATTGTCTTCTGTGTTGTGTCCTTCCCTTGTGACTGCGTGCGTTGTATTGCTCAATACAACTCCTATGGGAGTACTCTTCCTATATTCTTGTGTGTATTGTGTTCTGTGTTGTGTACTTCCCTTGTGACTGTGTGTGTTGTATTTTCAGGGGTTTGTGAAACGATGGGACAAGTGCCTCAGTGTACAGGGAGTTTATGTTGAGAAATAAAAGCATTTTTCAAATCAGTACTCTTATTTGTTTAAGTTCTGTATCCATTTGTAACTTACTTATTGACTTACCCTCGTAGAATATAATTTTTCTGATTGAATCATGAGCTTTCTTGAAGCCTGTGAATAAGAAATATACTGTCTTATTGTTGTAACTACCATGGTGAAAGAAGATGAGAGGGAAGGCCAAGGTTACACTTCAGCAAGTCTATTGCGTCAGTCTGCCACATGACACCACTCTATGAACGGTCTTTTTTACACGAGTGGTTTTTCGACTTCATGTTTTGTCTCGTCTGCGATGTATGGCAAAATCGAGTAATGTGTCTGCATCAAGTTTAGCGTGAAGCTCAGTAAATCCAATACCGAAACCATTGAAATGCTTCGTGAGGCTTTTGGAGAACATTCTTTAAGCCAGACAGCAGCTTTGGAATGGCATTTGTCTTTCAAGGCCAGTTGAGTGGCAGTTGAAGATGACAAATGTTCAGGGTGACCACACACCAGCAAAATGATAGAAAGTGGCACAAAAATTTGACATCCACGAAGACCGTCGTTGAACAATCCATGATCTCGCAGACACCACTGGGATCAGTTATGGAGTTTACCAGGAGATCTTAACAGAAAATTTAAACATGCGCCACATTGCCACGAAGTTTGTTCCCCGACTCTTGACAAAAGATCAAAAGCAGCAGCGTGTAAACCTGTCTTGAACTATGAGAGAAGGCTAACGAGAACGAAACTTTTATTTCTTTGTTTCCCAAATTGAAAATGAAACTGAAGGGATGACATTTTGAAACAGTGTCTGACATCCAAAGGGAATCGCAAGCAGTACTCAACAGCATAAAGGAAAATGACTTCCACAGTGCTTCTGAAGCGTGGAAACAACGATGGGATCGCTGTATACATTCCCAAGGAGACTATTTTGAAGGAGATAACAGCCAAAATTGAGTAAATTGAGCCAATATTTCTTTTTTGACCTAGTCCGGGAACTTTCTGATGCATCTCATATACAAGAGGATAGAGATGAATTTCAGTGGTTGGTAAATCAGCATTGACAAGAGCTATGAGCCAGAAAGAGCAGAATTCCCTTTGTCAGCTAACAGCTGACATGTGTTAGTTACCCCCCCATCCCCCCATAACTTAGACAGCCCGCCATCTGCCAGGCAGCTTTGTTATCTGTCTGTAAAAAATTGAATCAGCACTGAATAGACAGGAAGCAACATGCAAACATGGCACTAAGAATGTTTACATATGCATTTCTTCAAACAGCTGTGAATGTTAATGATTTAATGCGTGTAATTCTTTATTTTACTTTGGTTGTTTGTATGCCTAAATGTCACACCTGAAATTGGTGTAGGGGTGTGGAGGTAAGTTCCATGTTTTCTTAACCTCGGTGCTAGTTTGAGGTGAGTGATCAGCTTTACACTTAGGTTGCTTTGTTCCCAGGGGAAGAGTCCCCATTCTTTTGGACAGTGATTCTCAGCCTGCATTCCACCAGTTATTTTGTCAAAGAAGTGTAGTGTCACAAAGTTTGTTTAATTTAAATTTAAATTTTAATTTTAATGCCCCTCCCAGTATTCTTGCTGTGTTCATTCTGCTTGCATGGCCAAACAATTGTAGTTCTATTAACATATTTTAAATTCCANCAATCTGCTGATTCTGCAATCGTGTCTTCACCAGATCCAGAGGGAACACACAAGACACCCCGATGATCCCCGCGATGCCACCATTAATGATTTTGGGAAGCAATCTGCACACACACACAAAAATTGATAACTGATACTGGTATATAACATGTTGGGGGAACAAACAATAAGCAACAAACAATGGTGAATATTCTGCTAGGAAAATAACAACTTCTATCAAACTGAAGAAAGCAGTCTTCTGGGATTTGGCACCGTGTATATGTGGTGTTAACCGACGTTTCGGAGGAACGTATCGCCTCCATCTTCAGGGTAGAAGAAAAAGTGTAAAAGCAGTCTGCTTTTACCGTTCTCACGGTCTTGTCACTTGCAGATTTCTTGTACTTTTTCTTCTACCCTGAAGATGGAGGCGATACGTTCCTCCGAAACGTCGGTTAACACCACATATACACGGTGCCAAATCCCAGAAGACTGCTTTCTTCAGTTTGATAGAAGTTGTTATTTTCCTAGCAGAATATTCACCATTGTTTGTTGCTTATTGTTTGTTCCCCCAACATGTTATATACCAGTATCAGTTATCAATTTTTGTGTGTGTGTGCAGATTGCTTCCCAAAATCATTAATGGTGGCATCGCGGGGATCATCGGGGTGTCTTGTGTGTTCCCTCTGGATCTGGTGAAGACACGATTGCAGAATCAGCAGATTGGACCAAATGGCGAGCGCCAGTACCGTTCAATGTAAGTTGATAACATGGTGTTCTCTAGGGCCGAGGTTTCAGAATGGGGGATGTCGTCCAGGGTTTGCTCCTGGCTTGCTGTGTTGTTTTCACACAGTAAGCCAGGAGCAAACCCTGAACGACATCAAGAACCTCCTCATCAAAATAAACAGGCGGCACAAAATCTGCCCCATACAAGAAGGGCAACAGGAGTATGGACACGAACCTACGTGGTTTAAAATTTTTTTTTTTAACTAGTGACAAAGGGTTTTTAAATTAACATCTAGAAACTTTAAAAACTTTACAATACCAGGAAGCTGCTGTGATTGTGAAATGTTCGACTTTATGTGTACTGTGCATTATAGAATATATTTTAAATCAAAAACACCTATTGTGATGGTAGTTTCCAGTTCGTAATGATGTTCCCTCTGAAGATAGTCTGTACGGACTGAAACATGTGAGGGAGATAAGTTTTAATGTAGTAAAAACTTATATGTCACATTGGACGGAGTGGTTTGTATTTATAATGTATCATCGTCACACTCTCTTAGTTCTTACTTACAGGGACTAGCACTATTGATTGGGCCCAACTGAATATGTTTTACCTGAAGACGGGGACAGAATCCAATCTCTGAAAACGTTTGTTTTGAAAAATAAACAGGATGTTGATTTTAGATAAAGACAGGAAAATGGATGTCTAAAACATAATATTTGTACCATTGTCACAAACTTGTAGATCTCAACTAAGAAATATTTTATCCATTTTTAAAATGTAACATGTTTATATAGGACAGTGGCTTTTGCCCATGGTTAGATGTTGTACATCTTCAGATCTGAGCTGTATACTTGAAACAAATGTTTAATTTTGGGTGGCATGAGACTGAGTCCATTTGGTACATCAACCACTATTTGGCCTATTGTACCAGCCCTGGATGATGATTGATCATGGGTGTGGAGTAGTCGATGGAATGAGAATTGGCAGGAGAAATCAAAGCACTCAGAGAAAGCCTACCCCAGTTCCACTTTGTCCACCACAGATCCCACATGACCTGGCCTGGGATCAAATGTGGGGCCCAGAGGTAAGCCAGTGACTCACAGTCTAAGCTATGGCATGGTGGAACAGATATATCGGTGACGCTGAATTTATGTTTATACAGGTTGGACTGCTTCCGGAAAACTTACAGAGCTGAAGGATACTTTGGAATGTATCGAGGTGAGTGCAAATACAACATTTGACGTGGTACATCACAACCACCAAGTTGTAGTTGGCTTTTTATGAGTGATCAGTCAGCGCAAAGGAGATCTACTGTTGGTCAGCAGGAGTTCAGTTCGTTCAGAGCCACAGGATAGAAGCATCTGCAGCCAGTCTATATTGTTGCAAGTTTGGGCCTGTCCCTTTCATAGTGTCAAACTTGTTTTCTAATAGTGGTATATTTGCCCCACGCATGAACTGTTGAGCCACAGAAACAACCATTTCTAAGTAATACATGCACACAATAGTAGAATTACAGGGTTATGGAACCCATTTATAGGCAACGGCTCGGTAAATACACTTCTGCATGGGTGGTGCTGTCATACAACAATACTGCAGCGAGGTTTTCTATGTGTCCATGCAGCTTACGCATGCACAATGATGTCACACCCCAACAGTGCTTAGCTATCACCTGACTTAGGTTTTCTGCGTTGTTCATGCTTTGACTATATAATATGAGTCTACCTGCAGCTGAGGAGAGTTTTAGTTGAGTTCTGAGGGTGCAGCATGACTGAACAAGAAATGGCCAGAAGACTTCTTAATGGTTTGAAGTGCTAGTTTTTGTGTTGAGATCTGTTGCTAGGAGACGACTAGTGGAAACTGAGAGTTCTGGTGCGTGTGTAACGGTGAACTGTAAATTGTATAAATCAGCAATAGCGCTCTATTAATTGCAATTAAGAGGGACTGTAACCAAAGTGCCAATAAATCCAGTCGTCCAATCTAGAACCCGTTATTTTCATCACACATACCCTCCTACACGTGACAGTATAGATTTTGTTGATGTATAATTGTTTCTTTGTGCACAAATACATTTAAGAAAAAAAATCATATTCACCGAAAATAACCATTCCACAGTTCTACATTTGGTACCACTATGTGTTCTATGCATCTGTCTCCACCCTCCTTCACTTCTTTTCAAGGCACAGTATTTGTGATTCGTGCACACCTCAGCCTCCAGTTCTAGTGAATAACATTTTGTAGTTAACCACACTGTGCTTTTTTTTTTTTTGCGTTTAAAATATTTACTGGTTTGAATCCTATTTCAAGGTTTTGATGATGTTTCATATATATTCAGGCAGACATCAGGATTGAACCTTGGGGTGTATGTACCACATTCAGAATCTTCATGTTCTCTTAATCCTATAGTTCTTATTGTTTCACATCACATTCCTGTTCTATATAGTGGATATCATTACCTTGATCTCAGTCAGTTAAGAATTTCTATTTTGTCATGTGCCTGAATGTATCATTAGAAAATACGAAATTTATATGTAATAATTATTTTATTTGCAGTGGATTGTGTGTGAATGATCATTTTCAACTATGGTTGTGAAATTATTTCTGCACTTTAGTGGGGTCATGTACATCAGAATATATCCATGTATTCTACTGACCTGAAAAGAAATAATGTCTTAGAGGAGACAGATTAGTAGTAATTGGTACTTCCTTCACAGTTACATGGAAAAACTTGGTTCAGTAATTTACAATAGACAGAAATATTTCTGTACTTGAAGAGCTATGATTTAAAAGTTTAAGATGGACTATTAAGATAGTTTAGTTAATTAGTTAGTTAGTTATTGGAGAGGGTGGGTTTCCCCATGCGCTGAGACCTGTATTGGTCCATTGTGCTTCCCTCTATGATTTCTACCAGTCTCTATATCCTACCGGTACTGGTGCTTACCATCAGTCCCGCCCAGCCAGCGAGACCGGCTCTACTAGCTGAGAGGTATCTATAATGCTTCCCCCATCTACCAGAGGTATTAGAGACTGCTGTTGGGCGGGAAATGTCCATTAATTTGGCTCAGTGACCTCCTTTGGAGATATGAGGTTCTTTTACGTGCCGTAAAGCTACGACATGGGACCCACGGCTTAAAGTCCCTCCCGGAGGACTTGTTCCCTGAATTTTTCCGCCCTTAAAAATTCGACAACCTCTGCCGGGTATTTGAACCCGCGTACTACGAGTCATGAGGTGGGAACGTTACCTCTAGACTACAGAGGCCACTTATTAAGATAGTTTACTCCAGAAAACATCAGCTAGTGTTATCGGCAGATATGTTAATGCTCATTTGTAAAAGTCTATCTTATATGCAACCAGTAACTTTCTACATTGACAAGTCCTCAATGTTTATAAACATTACTGTCTGCACTATGGATCAAAGCATGTTTCCTCCTCTGTGAACTGAAACGTCTGTGTATTGTGCGTAGGTTCCGCTGTCAACATTGTACTCATTACCCCGGAGAAAGCCATCAAACTTGCTGCCAATGACTTCTTCAGACATCACCTCAGCACACCTGGCGGGTGAGGATTGTGTAATTGTCTCACAAATGAGATTTTCATCTAATCTTTGTTCACATATCAGTGAATAACTACAGTGCCAAAAAATAACTTCAGGAAACTCCATATTAGATAATGACAATAGTCATAAGTTCATGGATACCTGTGATGTTCAGTGTTTGTAGATATTTGTGTCTGAGAGTAATAACTGTGGTGGTGGTGGTGGTGGTGGTAATAAGATGATGACAATTATTATTATTATTATTGTTATTAATGCCCTGGAGAACATACTGTATTGATGCTGTGTGTCTGACAGGATTTTGACCTTTTTTATAGGGGACTGCCTCTAGGACGGGAGATGGCTGCTGGTGGGTTGGCCGGCCTGTGTCAAATAATCATTACCACACCCATGGAACTCCTGAAAATTCAGTTGCAGGATGCAGGGCGTGTAGTCTCTAAGCAGGGTAATTTTCTGAAGCAATATTGTTAAATACGAGGAAGGGTCAGTAAATAGGTAAAAAATCGATATAAAATGTAAAACATGGTGATATTCAAACCTGGAAAAACCATTTGTTTCTCAACATGTCCTGCACCAACATGGATACACTTCTCCCATTGCTTTACCAGTGTGTTGAAACCTGCAGCATGGAAGTCTTTTGACTGTTGTCTCAGCCACTTCCACACCTTCATTTCAGTCTGTCCATTGTCAGCGAAATGTTTGCCACAAAGGTGGTTTTTTAGGAGACCAAACAGATGGAAGTCACTAGGGGCCAAGTCTGGGCTGTAAAGTGGATGTTCAAGAAGTCACCACTGTAGCTCTCGAATTCTGTCCTGGGTTGCTGAGGCTATATGGGGTCTGGTATTATCATGATGAAGCAGTACCCCTCTTGCCAGTTTGCCTGGACGTTTTCTGTGAACTGTATCTTGGAGCATCAACAGAACTTCACAGAACAATGCAGAATTCACATTTTTACCATGCTTCTGAAAATGGGCTAACAGTACTCCCTGAGTATCCCAAAACATGGTAAGCATAACCTTCCCATGTAATGGTGTAACCTTAAATTTTTGGTTGATGGTGAAATTGGATATTTCCAATGCACTGAAGCATACTTTGATTTGGGTTTGTAGTGATGTATCCATGAGTGACAATCCCAGTAACAGTCCTGTGAAGCATGTCTTATACTTCACCTGCATACCATAGGAGATATTACAAGGACAGACCCATTTGGTTCATTTTTTCTCAGTCCTTCAGTTCTCTGGGCACCCACCATGCACACACTTTTTGAAACTTCAAATGTTCATGCATTATGCTTTATGCTAAACCGTGGGAGCACCACAGTGCAGTTGCTACACTGTTTATTGTTATCCTCTTGTCAGGTCAGATCAACTCTTCCATCCACTGCACAGCTGCTTCTGTTGCAGATGATGCCCAAACTGGTTGGGCATCATCTGCAACTTTAGAACGCTTTTGAGAGAATTTCTTGATCTAGTTGTGAACTGATTTACATGATAAACACTTCCTGCCATAAACAGGAAACATTTCTTTATGAATATCCTTTGCATTGAGCCCTTTGTCCCACAAAAAATGCACAACCGAATGCTGCTCTTTGGTAGTGTACTCCTCAGGCACAGTTGCCATTTTGACTACTGAAACCAGCCTCTGCACGTTCGCATGTGTGTCTGATACTTAGACTGTCATGAAGATGGACTGTGCTGGTACCTTGTGATACACATAGAAAACCTATTACATCCATTACAGCTCTTTTACTTCCATTTGTGACTTATTTACTGACTTCGTCATATAAAATACTAACCGAAGAAGTTGGAGTAACTTTAATAATATAGACTTGTATTTGGTACTCCAAATCTGAACTGCATTACCAATTATCTTGTGCAAGACTTTTTAGGATTTTCCTCAGTCATTCCAGGCAAACACTGAGATAACACCAAACTGTAATCCTGGATCATTTCTTTAAAACTTCTTTCTAGCTCATAATCCTGTTCTCATCCTATTCAATACCATATAAGCATAACCTTTGCAGTTGAAAAAGGATTGTTAAATAAGCAAGGAATATTAATACTATAGTCCTGGGATGTGATGTCATGTAGTTTGATAGGTACAGACATTTTGGAGGAAACTGCTGCCTCCATCTTCAGGGTAGAATTTATACAGCCCTGAAGATGAAGGCCATACATTCCTCCAGAATGTTGGTAATTATTTACCAAATTACATGACATTACAGAAGGCAATAATCTTAAAATACCGTATTTTAAACTGAGTAAAATTTATGGGTATTCCACTGTAGTTGCTTTACTAGTTGATTAGTTAGTTGGTGAGTTAGATTTATATGAATTGTGCTTGATGCTCAGGAGGCACTGTCGTGCCACGGCAGACAGCACTGGGAATCACAGTGGAATTGCTACGCACAAAAGGTGTCTTGGGGCTTTACAAGGGCGTTGGTGCCACAGCATTCCGTGATGTCAGCTTCTCAATAGTGTACTTTCCTCTGTTCGCCCACCTCAATGCTCTTGGTCCAAGAAAGAAGGATGGATCAGGTAACAGCACATATCAGGCAAGGGCAGGCAATAGACTGTATAGGTGACTCTTGTTCTACATGGGTGTTGCATCTGTCAAAATTGTCACATATATCAAAATCACTTGAGCAGAAATTGCACTGAACAAGCACTGAACATGGAGAAGAAGAAGTAGGAAATGAAATGACTGAGTCAAAATGATGGGGTGAGCCACAGAAACTGTGTGCATAATTCACTAGTCATGTGCAGGAGCTTCTACTGTGGCAACAGATAGGACATTGTTTCTCATCATGGCAAAGAAGTAGAACAATGAATGTGTAACAATGTTTATAACGAAAACATATATAATGAGAGTCACCTGTATACTTAACTAATAGACATTACTACTATTACAGTTATCAAGGAACTGAAGAAGATAATCTGTAAATATGGACAAAAGAGACAAAACAGAAAATGTACACTAGGAAACAGTTCTGGCATATTCGCTCACTTTTGTTTAACTGTCTCAAAAAATGTAAGACTTGCAGAAAAAGTGATCTAGGAATAAATTGTGTATTTTGTGTTTCCTTAACTTTCTTCAAAACATTTTTCATTCCAATAAATATTTAGCTTGTTACATTTGAGTTTATGCTTGAGATGTGCGCAGAAATATGTGTGAGTCTTATGAGATATGTCTGCTGCTCTTATTGTATTTTAACCAGAATTGTGATATGTGAACAAATTTTAGAAAAAATAACCATCATTACATTTCATGAAATTTCATGCAGTTCTTGATTTGTTACATGTGAGTGCGCAGAAAGAGACATGTCAAAGATAATAGCTGAATTTTTGCAACTTTTTGTGGTGAATGCATTGAATGTTGAAAGTGAAGTTCTTCTGCATTAAAAAGTTTGGCATGTTCATTAACACAGTTGTTTTGTGTAGGGGAAGCTGTGTTTTGGTGTTCCCTGTTGGCTGGCATTGGTGCAGGTGCCACTTCAGCATTTGTAGTGAACCCATTCGACGTAGTAAAAACGAGACTACAGCTGCTGAAGCGGGCGGAGGGCGAGGTTGCATATAAGGGTATTACTGATGCTTTCATGTAAGTAACTATTTATTCTTTGATTGTTAATTGTCTCCATAACTTACAGTTGTGCAGTTTTGCTGCAAGAATTGACTGATTGATGGATGGATCAGTTGATTGGTTGGTTGACATCATATAAATTACAGTGGTTAAGAAGTGTTTGATGAAAGATGTTTGTGAATTCCTTATTGTCTCAATTATGCCGCCAGAATTATTAGTTACTCTGGGCCTCAATATTGCTTGCATTTGACCCCTTTAGCTCCCAAATTAAAGATAATTGTCCACCCTTGTTATGTATGGGAATTGAAGTCATTCAGTCAGTACAGAGATTAGACTGTGGCTGAAATGTCAGGGAGTTGTGGTTCAATTCCAGGCAGGAGTAAGAGATTTGTTTCTTTTCCACAATATCCAGACTGGTCCTGGGGCTCACACAGGCACCTATCCAGTGTACACTCAGGGTGAAGTGGCTGGCACATGAAACTGACCATTAATTTCCATATAGTGCTGAAGTTAAGAATGCGTGGAATTGTACCTCTGCTCCCCCACATGCCTTCATGGCATGGTGATTAATTAAGCACAGGGACATCTTTATTCTTTTATATTCTATTGCATGGCTTTTCTTTGTATGTTAACAGTAGAATGACAATCTTATTCTAGTTCTCTTCTCAAAAATGAGGGCCCGACAGTGTTCTTTCGAGGAGCTGCCTGCCGCATGATTGTGATCGCTCCTCTCTTTGGCATTGCCCAGATGGTGTACTTCCTTGGTGTAGCTGAGAAACTTATGGGTATGAACAGATCCTAAAACTATTCCATTTTATCTGACTCTCTGAGCAGCAACGAAGACAATAATCCTTCCTTTCCTATACATTGCTAGGCATGTTGAAGTAGTAATCGTAACTGAAATGTCAATATAACTGTTACTATTTTAAGAATTCACAATGGTTTATTGTTGATGTTGATTCTGATCTTGGGTGTTTCCACTGTGTGGATGTGGGCAATGTTGCCAAGATTTTGGCAATACTGTATGAAGGGATTTGTCTTCCCCCAAATCCCCACCCATCTCCCTCCTGTGAGACACCATTCCCTGCACTTCTAAAATTCCCTTTTCCATTGCAACCACCTTCAACCTCTGGGGTTTTCACTGCCATTTCCACAGCATTCATCCAGCAGCAGAGATGGTTGAGAAGTCCAGGAACATCAGTTGCCATTGATTTCTTGGTGTACTTCGTGTCCCTTAGAAGGACCATGTTTGATAATACTTCTCTGTCCACTCTCTATATTGGCCTAGACTGGGCACCACTCCCTGCTCTTCCCCACGGATCTGTTGGACTAAAATCTACATATAAATGAACACTCACCTATACTGCTCACTTTGATCTTGAAGATGGAGGCAGCTTGTACCTATGAAAAATAAACATCATCCACATGCTGGAAAGACCCACGAATATAATTGACATGAATGTAAATGTTATTTTTAGCTAGCATTATAAGATGCTTTGTAATTTGTGTTCGGTTCAAACATATGACAATATAATGTGCAGAAGAGTATCTGTTTGAATAGAACACCCTGTCGCATAGGAATGAATTAGTGATGTTAGATCAAATGTATGGTCTCTTTTAAAAATAAGGGAGACTTTTGGGGATGTTTGTTTTGAAATGAGATTCTCACAGTAGTGAGTATGTACAATAATATCTTTTGGGACACAGACAATGCCCTTTTGAATGCACCTGTCTGCATGAACTTTCCTTGCAGTTTGCAGCTGTTCCATCCTTCTATCCCACAAAACATTGCCTACAGTCCATACTACTCTCTGAGCCCACCTGTACCTCCCACTGATCACTCAAACTACACTATTCTCTTGCCTTCTATCATTTCTCCACTTCGCAAATGTGGCCCTTTTCAGGGACAGCACTTGTTACCCTTCTCCTATCTGGTCTCCTTTTCAGACCAATGTCTGAACCAGGTTTTTCCACACACAGCTCCCTCTGCTTGCTTGGGATGTTATTGACCCTGAAGTATATTCCTTCAAAATATTGTAAACTTCTACCAATGTTCATGATGCCACAGCCCAGAAGGTGGTATTCTTTTTTTTTATATCATTTTGTGTGAATGATAACAAGTGTTTTAAATGTGATCAGTTGTCATTGAAACTAAGCAACTCTAATGCACTCTGGGAAAGATGAATGATGATTTTTTTATCCTGTAATTTTGAATATATATATATATAGGTACATTTGTAGTAATAATTTGGAAATGTTATTTAAACTGAAAGGGAATGCATATGAAGGCTGCACTATGGCTTGGGTGATTGGATAGCGACTTCTCATCTCAGACCCTCCAAGAATTAATGTGGAATTTATGGTGAACAAAGTGACATTGTGTCAGGTTTTTCTCTGAGTAGTTCTGTTCTTCCTTGTCAGTCATCTTTCCACCAACATTTCATACTCACTTATTACCAACCTTAGAGTGTGTGCAGTAGGCCTGACAAGCCAGCAAAATATCACGGTCAGTCATCATCTGGGCATTACTTTTGACGCATAATGATGCTGAATTTGCAGTAAGTTAATTTAATTTTATGGTAGGTTATGAAGACTAATGCAGCAAAAACAGTGGACCCCTCCAGAGATGTAAGGTAATTGGGTCCTTTTGTATAGAATCACTTTTCTCTCCCTGAAGTATAATTTGTCCTTTTTCACTTGATAATGCTTCTTACTTCTGGGTTAGCATAGAAGCTAGTCAGTATAGTGACTGGCTATGGGCTGGACAACCAACGAGGTCAGAGTTCAAGTCCTGGTAGGGTCAAGAATTTTCTTTTCTCCACATGGTCCAGACCAGCTCTGGGGTCTACCCAACCTCTTATCCAATGGGTACTTCCAACTGGTGCCTAGGTTAAAAAAAATATGGATCTATACATCCACTCCCCCATATGCCTTCATGGCATATTGCTTAATTAATTAAGCACAGGGACAACTTTACCTTTTTACTGCTTCTTACGTCAGCCATCTTTATATTATTTTTAATTTTTGTTCTGCTGTTTGCTTACTTTGTCATTACTTACTTTTCCTCACAATTCTTCTCTGAATCAGTATGCTCTTTTTCTGAAGAGGCTAGTGTAGCAGTAACACTCTGGACTTATATTCAGGAGATGCACAGTTCAAAATTTGGTCAGAACACCAGCTAGCCCGACTGATTTCCATGATTTTGCTCAGTAACTCCAGGTGAATGCTGGGATAGTGTTTTAGTATGGAAGATCTTTGCCATTACACTTTTAGTGTGACAGGTTTAATAGAATAGATAGTAGCCTGAGTAGACCATGACTGCATCCTTGCAAGCCCTTTCCAGTTCATCATTCGTCTGTCGTCCAGCCAGTCAATGCCATACAGTGTGGCTATTGGCAGCTTTTTAAGTAAACTATTAAAAAAATGTGCTGCTATAGACATATGGCACAATTGTCAGTAGTTGATTGTAGGGTTTGAATACTCATATGTATCTGCAGCTCAAGAAGTCTTCTGATTAAAGGATTATTTTTTACTTGTAGCACTTTTGTGTCTATGATTCTTAACTTCATACATATTTAGTGTTAAAATCATTACATTGCTTTAGTTTGTGTGGATTCCTTCAGATGACTCTTGGGTATGAATTTTGTGTTCATTGATTCTTTCCACAGTGAACTTCTGTGGATTTTGTAACAGGTGTTATACTGAGAAGAAAGCAGTCTTCTGGGATTTGGCACCATGTATATGTGGTGTTAACCGACGTTTCGGAGGAACGTATCGCCTCCATCTTCAGGGTAGAAGAAAAAAATATAAGAAATCTGCAAGCGAAGAGACCGTGAGAACCGGTCGTCCGAAACGTCGGTTAACACCACATATACACGGTGCCAAATCCCAGAAGACTGCTTTCTTCATAGTCACCGCCGTGAAAGCCTCAAATCTTATACAGGTGTTATACTGTCTGTTAGAGAACAAGCATTCATTTCATCGGTATAGATTGCATTTTTGTTGAGCTTTCCTATCTTCATGAATTGTTAATTTTTTATTGTTATTATTGTCATTATTAGTTATTATTTTATTATGTAATATTATTTATTTATACATTTTTGTTGTTACAAAGAATTTCAAATGTAATTTGGAGCCTAACTGAGAGCCTTAGTTTCTAAATTGCAGCAGTGCAGACTGTAGTAAGTATCTAAGCAAAAAAGGGTTAACTTTGTGATCCAGCTAGCTCCTCTGTTTTTTTTAATTTCTTCCTACACAGTTGAAAGGATAACTGTGTCTAAAACGTCTTTGAAGTAGCATCATCAGATAGTGGTGAATATCATTCCATCACCATTAGAAAATGATTATATTCTGTTTTCAGAGAACACTGGGAACCAGAATCACTGTATGGGAGATCTTTCTGAACACTCAGAAATTTTCTTCCATGAGCTTTGATAAAGGTGTGATGTACACTAAAAAATGTTTCATACAAACACTAGCAGGTGTTTCTCTGAAGCAGCTGAATTTTTTAGGGGATTAGAAGCTAATTCTAATCTGTATAATCCTGTAACTGAAATATGTTTTTTTAAGAGAAAATGCCTCTTTCTGTCTTAACACTACTACATTTTTTTATGTATCAGGCCAGCCTCCATTTTATGGGTTTTTACACTTTTTTAAGGATGGTTGACATAGTACCATAAACATCTCTAATTCTTCCATAAGTGACATTGTATGGCATTTTATCTATGAGTACATGCGCCCAGCTGACGCTACAACTCAGTAAGGAAGCTCATGTTAGTGGTGCATAGCAATGAAAGGAATAATTCATTTATGCCAGACCATAATACAATCTTGTAGTGAAACACTGTAACAGTTCTTTTAACAGGTAGTGGCCTTGCTTATCAGTAACACTCTTAACACATATTTGGGAAGTGCTCGGTTTGAATCTTGGCTGGGACTCCAGCTATCCAGACTGAGTTTTTCATAGTTTTCCTCATTAACTCCAGGTAAATGCCATGATAGTATCCTGACTGGGCCATGATCACCTGCTTTCATATCCTTTGCAATTCACCATTCATATATCATCCTTCCATTTGATGATGTATAGTCAGGTATATTGAAAACGTTGTACAGTAGGCCATATAAAAATGCTTTTAACTAAATTAATTTTTAGATTTGTGATACTGTAGTACCTCCTTAGTAACATGATTAATTAGTTGGGTGAAATTTATTTAATGTATTACCTTGATTGATAATTTTTTTAAGAGTGAAACTAATTATACATGCCACTGTCTGAAGCATTTTATTTCTGACATTATTTTTAATCCATCAATATGCATTCCATTTTATAGTATGAATAATAATAATTGTTACACAGGCACAACTGGACAAGTCAGTTGAAAACAGCCAAACACTATGTGTAAACAACTCTTTGAAAAATGCACAAAACAATATACAAGACAATGTACAGTACAATCCCTATCTGGTCAATATCTGCTTGCCATAACTTACCAACCATGGATAATTCCCAGCAATTCAATATAAAGCAATAAACATACTTAACCACAAAAAACACAAGTCAGCCATGTAAAACAAAACATCCATGTTTAGTGAAGATAACAATCCAAAGATCATCTATGCACTTCTGTATCATATTGAAACTAACTTGAATTACCAAACTACTGTCTTATCATTGTTACTAAAAACTATTGTAGAGAATAATAACAATTTTTTTAAAAAATGACTTTTTTATTTAGTTTTTAAAATAAGCTATTTCTTCATTATTTAAATACAGAACAGGTCTACGAATTAATCTAGATCATCTTCCCTGAAATAGTATTGCTTTGGTCTTTTCCATATTTATTAAAAGATTATTTGTCAAGAACCAATTTCTAACTGTTTCATAACAGTTACGATTTTCCCTTTTAAAGATGTGAGTTTTTTCTCAGTGAGTAATGTATTTGTGTCATTTGCGAACACCACCACCTTAGCTTCTTGAACAACTTGGGGCAAATAATTTATAAACGACAAGAACAAAATGGGTCCCAAAAAGAACCCTGAGATACACCATATTTTAATTCTTTTTCATGGCAAAGTATACATATTTATATTTGAGGTCTTTTCATCAAAATGCTATATTTCCACAAATTGAGTTCCACCAGTAAGATATGAACTCATCCATGAGTGCATTTTTCCTCTAAGTCCATACAGCTCCATTGTGGCAAACAGTAGTTTATGATTTATTACATCAAAGTCCTTCGTTAAATCTAAAAATATATCCATAACTAATAGCTTATTATCTAATGCTTTCTGTATATCTTATATAAAGATTTGAGTTACTGTACTTGTAGATTTCTTCTCTTTGAAGTCATGAAATGTGCAAGAAATTCCACTTCTGTTCCTGGATTTCCATTGGCTCCTATTTAGATCTTAAGTCCTAGTCTTAATTAGTCCATTCCAATAACAGGCCTAATGCAGTGGTTAATGATACATCTTGATCATTCATTGTCAGACTTACTGCAGTTCTATTGCATATTATGATGACTACCATCACATCTCGATCAAAGAATATTCATACTTTTAGCAATAAATTGTCAATTATTGAAGAACTTTAGGATCCTTTTTTGTGTGGCTCATGTGTAATATTGTATCAATTCCATATGTGTGGTGAAAGGTCAGTTTTCATGACTATAGTATCTGCATGCTCATTGCTGAATTAATAACATATAGAAGGCCATGATTTTACTCAAATACTTGTTACTTTATAATCATTCTGGCCATAATACCTACAAAAATTACATCATGAGGGAAGAATGTATCAATAGAATGAAGCACTAGTTGTATATCCAATATAAATGGAATAAGAAAACCTTAACATTAAGGAACTCATTTCACCTGTTCTAAATGTAATTATTTCAAAGATATCCAAAATAAGTGCCACCAAGTTATCATAACATATGTGTGGGAGCTGGAATAGCTCAATTGGTGACTGAGCTATGGGTTTGATGACTGAGGAATCAGGGTTTGATTTTGGGCAGAGGCAAGAGACTTTTCTCTTCAGCACATCTGTACTGCCTCTGGAGCCCATCCAGCCTCATATTCAATGGGTACCTGGGGTATTTCACCAGGTGTAAAGTGGGAGGGGCATGAAGCTGACAACATGCCTCCATCACTCTTGTATTTTCGTATGCAATTGGGGTGCTGGTCCCAAGAAAACCCGTGATCTGCACATGGTTCAGATATGTTTGAAAGGAGTGTAAGAATTGTTTAGGAGCAGAATTCTGTTCCTGTGAAGGCTTTCAGACTGAACGGTGGTGAGACTGCAGTTTTCTGGGATGTGATGCCATGTAGCGTGGTAGATGATTATGAAGGTTTTGGAAGAATCTGATGCCTCCATCTTCAGGATAGAAGATGAAGACAGTATATTCCTCCATAAAGTTGCTACCTATATACCAGATGCACAGCATCACATCCTAGAACACCAATCTGAATGGACTAGTCCAATATACCATGTACCAAATTACAAGTGCATTTTACGTTTACTTGTATGACCAGCCACTGAAGATTTTGTGACAACTAAAACTGTTCCAAAAGTATAACTATAAAGTTTTCATTGGTTGAGTATTTTTAACTGCATTTCGTGAAAAAGAGCTTTATCTTGTCAGTTGATTTGGGAATTTGTACTGTTATTTCAAGGGTTAACCTTTAATGGCAATCTGTTGCAGTGTTGCAATAGTACATGTGTGTGATCCATCTGACTGAATATTGCACTTTTTTTTAATACTGATACCATTATCAGTGATTTAAATATGGCACCAGCCAGAACCAG